ATTTCGTTTTCATTGTGTATTATTTTGAATGGTTTGATTTTTTTCCCCTAAGCATGTTATTTTCAGAATTTAAAGAGCATACTTAAAGCCGGGCAGGGTGGCATGTGCCTGTAATCCTAACTACCTAGGAGGAGGAGGCAGGAGGACCATTTGAGCCCAGGCATTGAAGACCAGCCTGGGCAACAGAGTGAGACCCCATCTCAAACAAAACAAAACAAGAATATTTAAGAAGAAACAAATTATAAGGGGGAGAATACCAGTTAAAATGTCTCACCCTGAGCTTTGTTTTTAAATTCGTTTCTCAGTGGTTCACCTCTTCTTGCATTCACAATTTCAGATGTGGGCGGGCCCAAGAGATCACCGCCAATCTTTATTTTGTCCGTGAGGAAAATGAGAGCTAGAGAGGGTTTAGCAAGCTGCTGGGGCTCCCTGGCTAGCCTGACTGCAGAGACCAGGCTCCTGTGATGCTGCTTTCAGGAAATGGACCGATGATCCCTTTATGTGGATTATAAAATCATCCTTGGACTTGTCTGCCCTTTCCCAGTGTATCGTCCACTGAGCCTTACTTCATGGGTACCCATGTGGGGAACTTGTTAAAATGTAGGTTCCCAAACACCTTCCTGGAGATTCAGGTTCAGTGGGTCAAGGCAGGGCCCTTCCACCTGCGTTTCAGCAAGGCCTCCCCGTCCTCCCGCAGATGATTCTGAAGTGGGTGATGTCTATGACCCCTTTGACCTCCCGCAGCTCAGCCCTGCTGGCGTTGTCTGTGCATCTAGGCTGAACACCCCCACACCAGCAAGGGAAAATGGGGTGCTCTAGCTTAGCAGGGGAAGTGACAGCTGGTGCCTGGGCTCCCAGTGCAGTGCTCTCCCCATGGCCCCCTCCTCACAGCTCATGCTCTGCTGGGTTGAATGGTAGCCCCTAGCTTACCCACCCAGGCGTGGGCACTGGCTGGCCTGGATTTGGAACTGGGGCAGGCTGGGGGTCGTGGATGCTTCCGGAGTACCCCTCACCCCATTGGAGCTCCCCAAGGCAGGCCTTGTGGGAGATACTGACAAGCACATTGGAGCTGGGAGGGGCTTGGCCAGCTTGGGCTTGGGGAGGAGCTGCAAGGAGGCTAGGGAGGACTGGGATGCACGCCCGCCTGCCCTGAAAGGGTTCTGTTGTCCCTGTGCCATAGATCCTTGGAGGAGCCTCCCTCAGGGTCAGGAATCAAGCGGGGACACGGCTGAGCCACTCAGAAGCACCTTTTCCTGGGGACTGATCAAGAGGAGGGAAGGTCCTATAACAGCCCAGGGGCCACGGGGGGCCTGAGCCCCAAACCTCAGCTGCTGTTCCAGGTAGGTGCCCCTGGCATCATCCCATCACCCATCAGGGCTAAGCCCTAGCACCAGCTCCCCACCTTGAGCCTAGGAAATGTGGCCATCCTGGCCGCCCCATGGCCTGCAGCTCTCCAGCCAGCACTTGGGCAAAGGCCCTCCCTAAGCCCTCCTAAACCCACAACCTGCCAAGAGAGGGGCAGGAACGGCCTAACCCCATTCCGAAGGGCGCTGTCCCAGGTGACCCTGCCCATGAGGCCTGGGAAGGGGCGGAAGATGCTCTGGTTTTGGTTAGGATGTCCTCTGTCCCCTAGAAATTCCCCTGGGGCTGAGCTGCTAGCTGGGCCCCCGGTGGTTCTTGCCCAGCTGACTCTGGTTTGGGGCAAGCCCAGAATCCAGCCAGGCATGGCTCTTCCAAGAGTTCCCTGACTCTTGACACTTTTTCCTCTAGGAAAGGATTAAGACAGATGGTATCTTCATAGACTACTAGAGCTGGGGATCTTAGAGGTAGAATCCAACCGCAATCTCTTTTTACTTCTCAAGCATTACTTATATCAATAGTGTAGTTTCCAATGTTGTGGTTGAACATCTCAGAGGAATCAGGTGTAATCTTGTCAAAACAGCGTGGGAAGCCCTTTGGCTTTGAACAGCCCTTCCTGGGCTCATTGGCCTCCCTTTGCCCCTCAGTCCAGCCTGTGCCCCACACTCCTCTTCCTCTCCTTGCACCTTCCTAGTTACCTCCAGCAACTCCTTCCCCCTTTGCAAAAGGAACATTGACAGTGGCTGGACATTCCAAGCTAGAAGGTATTGAAGCTAGGTTAGCATCTAAGTGAGGCTTTCTTCCCTATTTAAGTAAGTAAATACATTAATAAATACATCTTTGAGGAAGGATTAGAGAGTCCGGGAAGCTTTCCAGAGGAAGCTCTAACTGTGATAAGACTTCTCTATTTGAGAGTGTCTCAGATCTCTCTTACATGAAAGAAGATATTATCCTGCATGGGGTGTTGGCCAAGAACATCGTGATTGTTGCTGTTATTGACAGAAGTAATCTTAGATATAGTTCTTTACGTCCCCTTTATAATTTCCTAGTCCTTTCTTGGGAGAGCCCTCCAGCGCAGGGAACCTTAGCTACAGGCAGTGTGTCACTTCTGTTCCTCTGGCCATTCCCAGGCCCCAGCCCTATGCCAGACTGTTGTTCAAGATTACTAGAAGAGGGGCCGGGCGTGGTGGCTCATGCCTGTAATCCCAGCACTTTGGGAGGCCGAGGCGGGCAGATCACGAGGTCAGGAGATCAAGACCATCCTGGCTAACACAGTGAAACCCCGTCTCTACTAAAAATACAAAAAATTAGCCGGGCGCGGTGGTGGGCGCCTGTAGTCCCAGCTACTTGAGAAGCTGAGGCAGGAGAATGGCGTGAACCCGGGAGGCGGAGCTTGCAGTGAGCGGAGATCGCCGGGAGGGGGAGCTTGCAGTGAGCGGAGATCGCGCCACTGCACTCCAGCCTGGGCAACAGAGGGAGACTCCGTCTCAAAAAAAAAAGAAAAAAAAGATTACTAGAAGAGGCAGCGGTGGAGCCAGATGGGTTCACATCCCAGCTCAATCACCTACTGGCCTCGTCATCTCTATGTATTTCTGTCTCTTCATCTGTAAAATAGGGTTAATAATAGTACGCTAGGGTGAAGATTAACTATGGTAATATCTGTAAAGTGCTTGAAACAACATCTAGCACCCAGTAAGTGCTTCACACATTAGATCTGATCATTGCAAAAGTCTGTTCTCTCCCAGCCATAGTCTGCTGCCTGGTCAACCTCCCTAAGGCACAGTGCAGACCTCCAAGTCCCTGGCTCTACAACCATCCGTGGCTCCCCATTGCCTAGTTAATGACTATGCTCTAACTTCACTTTAAGGGCTTGAAGGCAGAGACAGATATTGTTTGCCTTGCATGTAATAAGGAATCAGTAATGTTTGTTGGGAGAGGGTTTCTATCCTCAGGGTGGGTGAACTGAGTCCCTAAGGAATGGAAGTGCAGTCGCCTACAGCCAGCATCTGGGGGTTTGATCCAAGCTCTTCTACCTCCCCAACCATAGCCTGGCCAGGAGCAGACCTGGATATGGGGCCCTGGATCCACACACAAGGCTAGGGATAGTTTCCCTTGGATCCACTGGGTCTGCAAATGCAGTGAGCCCTATTTTGGGCTCCAGCCTTGGTCCACATCAGAGTCAAGAGAGGACACTTGGCCATTGCCCAGACAGACAGTGACCGCAGTTATAATGTGTACTCTCTGATGAGTTCAGGCCAGGCAGCAGACTTGACATCATGGTCCTCATTCATCGTGGGGCTGTGGCCAAAATCTTGGCTCCCATGGCTCAAGTGGGAAGCCTGAGGCCAGCAGAGACTGCCTATGATCTGGCATCTTGGACAGAGAACTCAGCTAGCTCCATCCTGCATCTCAGCCCCTGTAGTGGAAGAGAGGCCACACACTATGGAGGAACAAGCCCTGGGCTGGGGCAGGACAGAACAGCGTTTGAGACCAGCCTCCTCATCTGGTGGAGAGACCTCAACCGTGTCAATGAACTTCTCTATTTTCCCATCTGTGAAATGGGGAGAATAACACCTGCTTCGTAGAGTCGGGGTGACGGCAAAATGGTGCAAAATGCCCAGAGCCACTGCATGCATGGAGTGGGCACTTGGGAATTTGCAGCGATTCTGATCAGACCATCAAAGTTGTTCTCCAGGTTGCCGAGTGGAGCTGTTTCAGTCCTGACTTCCAGCTTTCCTTAGGTGGGGAAATTGTCCTCGCCTGGCCTCCGCGCTGAGATAAAGGAAAATAGTGGTGGTTTTGGCAGAAGCAGGAAACAGTTCAAATGTTTCCAGACTCCTGGCAAGGGTGGGAAGTGCGGGAGGGAAGCAGCGCAGCTCTGCCTGGTTTTCTCAGAGATTTTTCCACTTGGAGGCTCAGTGCTGCCAAGCCCAGGAAGCCAGCAGTGAAGGGACAGGAAGGGGGCAAATCAGAGCATGCTGGTTCCTGCAAGATGGTATTTTTCTCTTTATCCACTTGAAAAATGAACGAATCTATTGGGATTCCAGGCACTGGACTAGGCAGCAGCAAGTAAAACAGACATGACCCTGCCCTCAGGGGGCTTTCATTCAAATGGAGCAGATAATAAACAGCGTATTATGGATGATGTATGTTAGGAGATAAATGCAATGGGGGGAAAAACACAGAGAAGGAAAGGGAAGGCAATCAGGAGTGCCAGAGGAGCTGCGTTATTAAATAGGATGGTCAGGACAGACCTCACTGGAAAGGCAACATTTGAGACACACAGATTGTTTGCTCCCCTTGGGGATTCCTGAGAGGCCCGGGGGCTCAGAATCAAGGCCAAGTGCCTTTCATGAGATCCTGGGATAGGAGCAAAATCTAGAAGCTCTTCTAGTCCCAGCCCAGATAATGTCATGCCCTTTCTCCGAGACCTTCAGTAGCTCCCCACTGCCTATACAATCAAGTGCAAATCATTCAACTGAGATTCAGGGCCTCATGATCTGGTCCCAACTTGCCTGTTATCTCACCAGACCCTTCTCACCCCACTTCTTCAGCCAAGCTAGTCTGCCTGTCATTTCTGGAATAGTCCACTGTCTGTTTCCCTCTTCCTCTCATTTGTCCCTCTGCCCGGACTATCCTTGATCCCATTGGTTTCTGTCAGTATAGATATCTCACCCACCCTCCAAATGCCACCTCTCCGAGGCCTTCCCTGACCCCTGGGGCTGTGGTCTCTGAGCCCTACAACTTGGCTTGTTCCTTTCTCAGCGTGTGGCTCTTACTTTGCCTTGGGTGTAGGCACTGGTTTTCCTGTCTTGTGTCTCTACCTGGCTGGAAGTGCTCTGGGCAGGGCCTGGGCTCCTTCACCTCCAGCAGGTGTGGGACTCAGTGAACGCTGGCTGAACTGTGTCCCTGCTCAAAGGCTTCCAGCGACACTGTGACAAGCCAGGCCCACTCAGGCAACGAAGGCAGAAGTGGAGGCAGGCAGGAAAGGAGAGAGGAGACTAAAATGTAGGTGAGAGATGATGGAGGAGCTGGTGAGGGACGAGGAGAGAGAAATCCCCACTGTACTTTTTCCAGAGAGGCAGATTGTCGCAGACAGAAGGAGGGATCCCTCTCTTCCCCCAGAAATAGCTAGTACTCCCTTCAGTCTCCCAGGCCAGTGCTTCCTTGTGTCTAACTGAAATACCTCTTGCTGCAGCTGCAGTTCACTTTCTCTTTTTCCATCATCTGGCTTCAGGTCACCATTCAAGTCCTCATTCAGCCTGGATCATTGTGGCTTTCCTGATCCCCTACCCAAAGGGCAGGAGCAAGGTCAGAGGAGGCTGGCTCCTGCCCTGGAGCTTGTACTCTAGTTAAGGAGGCTATGGTGATCCCCAGAGCCACATGGAGACTGCTAGGGAGCTAAGATGTGGGGCCACGGTGAGTCATGGAGGTTGTGCCAGCCACCACCCCTCAGCCTCTCAGCACAGCCTCCCCCCAGGGCTAACCTTCATGACAAACAAACCTGTGAATAGAGAGCTCCCACTAGTGTAGCAGGGATTCTCAGGCTCCTCATGGCCCCCAGGCCCTGTGAGGCCCTATGAGCCAGACCCACATCCTCTGCTATCTGTCTCCCACCCATCACTGGACCAGCTGTACTCAGAGAGCACACGAGGCAGCCAATGTGACTCCAGCCCTATTTAAACAGATGGTGCCAGAGCCCAGAAACAGGCTTCAACCTGGTCCCCGTCCCGGCTCTGCTGCCCCTGAGGGGTGGTGCATTTCCATCCAGGGGACCTGAACTAGGCTCACATCTTGTCCTGCCCCCGCTCCCCATCTGCCTCTCGGCTGGCTTTTATGCATGCCAAGGTCTCCTCCTGGACCGTTCTGCCCTGTTCTCCACAGGGTAGGAGGCCCATGTGTCCTCAGGCTAGGAATGTGATGCCTTGAGGCCAACTGGCTAGGTTCAAATCTCACTAAGAACAGTGGTTCCCATCTTGGT